GCGCATCCGTTTTCTTGCTGGCCGGAAACTTGCGTTTTCTTATTATTCTTTTGCATAATAAGAAATTCTCAGTGACGTTCGCCACAAGGCATACAAGCGAGGAGGGCTAGCCTATGTGGAAGAAAGAAGTCAAGCTGCAGGCACTCGATAACAACAAGAGAAAGTCCAGTCAAGGAACATAAAGCCAATCCCACCGGAAGCTTTTTCTAATTGAATGCATGAATTCTCCGGTGGGTTAGTGTTCCGTGTATCATTGGTAGCCGGAATGGGGTTTCTATTATAGAAAGATTATACTACTAATATAGTTTTTGGGACTAACTCCGCCTATGTTGTCTCAACATAGCAGGTCCCAAGCCCTGGTAAAGGAGGAGGGTTGTGATAGGCTTGGCTAGCCAACGTAAAACCTAGCCGTTCTATGGAGATGAAACAAATGAGATATTCGTTGGGGCGTAACTCTCTTAGCGACGCGCCATATCGGAACCCGGGTATGGTGTCAAATGGGCAAGGGCCGGGTCGTCATTTCCTTAGTGGCGCGCTACATCGGCGCCCGGGTGTAGTGGAAAATGAGCAAGGGTCTTCGCATCTCTCTCGACGGGTGCGAAGGGCAAGGAAGCTAGTCGAACCAACTAGGGTCCGTATAGGTAGTTGGAACGTAGGGTCCCTAACGGGTAAGCTATGTGAGCTAGTCGATGCAGCTACTAGGAGGCGTGTAAATATCTTATGCGTCCAGGAGACTAAATGGAAGGGACAGAAGGCGAAGGAGGTGGAGGATACTGGCTTCAAGCTTTGGTTCACTGGGGCTTCATCGAGTAGGAATGGTGTAGGCATCTTGATCGATAAGAGCCTTAAGGATGGAGTTGTAGATGTTAGGAGGCAAGGCGACCGGATTATCCTAGTCCGATTGGTAGTTGGAGATTTGACCATGAATGTGATCAGTGCCTATGCCCCTCAGGTAGGTCTTAGTGAGAGCGCCAAGAGGCAATTCTGGGAGGATCTGGATACCTTGGTTAGTACGGTGCCTGCCAGCGAGAAGCTCTTCGTAGGAGGAGACCTAAACGGCCATGTGGGTGCGACTAATGGAGGTTTCGAGAGAGTGCACGGAGGGTTTGGGTATGGTAGTAGGAACGAAGAGGGGGAGTGTGTGTTGGACTTTGCGATGGCCTACGACTTGTTGATAGCGAACACCCTCTTTAGGAAGAGGGAATCTCACCTAGTGACCTTCCATAGTGGACGACACTCAAGTTAGATCGACTTTATTCTTGCAAGGAGGGAAGATAGACACGCTTGCGTAGATTGCAAGGTGATACCTGGGGAGTGTGTTGTCCCCCAGCATAAGCTGGTGGTGGCGGACTTTCGATTCCGAATACGTGTCCACCGGGACAAACGTGCCAAGACCGTGAGAACGAAGTGGTGGAAGCTTAAAGGGGAAGCGGCGCAGACGTTTAGGGATAGGATGCTAGGCGAGGGGCCTTGGGAAGAAGGAGAAGATGCAGATGACATGTGGCTAAAGATGGCAACATGTGTACGGAAGGTGGCTGCAGAAGTACTTGGTGTGAGTAGGGGAGGCAAGCAGGAAGCGAAAGATACTTGGTGGTGGAATGACGAGGTGCAAAGAGCTATTCAGGAGAAGAAGGAGTGTTTCAAGCGTCTCCACCTTGACAAGAGTGCAACCAACATTGAGAGCTATAAAATAGCGAGGAGGGCTGCAAAGCGTGCCGTGAGTGTAGCGAAGGGTCAGGCCTATGATGACCTTTATCAGCGCCTAGGCACGAAGGAGGGGGAGAAGGACATTTATAGGATGGCTAGGATTCGGGAGAGGAAGACAAGGGACGTCAACCAAATCAAATGCATCAAGGATGGGTCGGATCGGCCACTGGTGAAGGATGGGGAGATCAAGGACAGATGGCGAGAGTACTTCGACAAATTGTTTAATGGGGAGAGTGAGGGTCCTACCCCGGAGTTGGATGACTCATTTGAGGATACCAATAGACGCTTGGTGAGGAGAATTCGGGAGGCAGAGATCGGAGAGGCTATGAAGAGGATGAAGGGAGGTAAAGCAATGGGCCCTGATGGTATCCCCATTGAGGTGTGGAGATGCTTGGGCGCCAGAGCGTTAGTATGGCTAACTAAGCTTTTTAACCTCATTTTCCGGTCAAACAAGATGCCTGATGAATGGAGGAGAAGTACTTTAGTACCGATCTTCAAGAACAAGGGAGATGTTCAAAGCTGTGGTAACTACCGTGGGATTAAGTTGATGAGCCATACGATGAAGCTCTGGGAGAGGGTTATCGAGCATCGCCTTCGACGAGTGACGAGTGTGACCCAAAACCAATTTGGGTTTATGCCTGGAAGGTCCACCATGGAGGCGATTTTCCTAATACGACAGTTGATGGAGGGTTATAGGGTCCAAAAGAAGGACTTGCACATGGTCTTTATCGACCTTGAGAAGGCCTATGACAGAGTACCGAGGAATGTCATGTGGTGGGCCTTAGAAAAGCACAAAGTCCCATCTAAGTACATTACCCTCATCAAGGATATGTACAAGGATGCGATGACGTGTGTCCGAACATGTGGGGGCGATACCAGCGACTTACCAATTAAAATAGGACTACACCAGGGGTCAGCATTGAGCCCTTATTTATTTGCCTTGGTGATGGATGAGGTCACAAGGGACATACAAGGTGATATCCCTTGGTGTATGCTCTTTGCTGATGATGTGGTGCTAGTTGACGAGAGTAGGGCAGGGGTAAATAGGAAGTTAGAGCTGTGGAAGGACACGTTAGAGTCGAAAGGCTTCAGACTTAGTAGGACGAAGACCGAGTACATGACGTGCGCTTTCAGCATGGCTACACATGATAATGGTGACGTTAGCCTTGACGGGCAAGTGGTGGCCAAGAAGGAGACTTTCCGGTATTTAGGATCGATGCTACAAAAGGATGGCGGCATTGATGAAGATGTTAGGCATAGAATTGCAGCCGGTTGGTTGAAATGGCGTCAAGCTTCGGGCGTTCTCTGTGATAAGAGGGTGCCACAAAGGCTAAAAGGTAAGTTCTATAGGACGGCGATTCGGCCGGCGATGCTATACGGTGCTGAATGTTGGCCTACAAAAAGGCAACATGTCCAACAACTAAGTGTAGCAGAGATGCGTATGTTGCGGTGGTTTTGCGGGCATACAAGAAGGGATAGAATCCGAAATGAGGATATTCGAGATAGGGTCGGGGTGGCTCCAATTGAGGAGAAATTGGTTCAACATCGGCTGAGGTGGTTCGGACATGTCCAACGGAGGTCTCCTGATGCACCGGTGCGTAGGGGAGTTCTACAGCGGGTCGAGGATGTAAAGAGAGGTAGAGGTCGGCCTAAACTCACTTGGGAAGAGTCGGTTAAGAGAGACCTTAAAGATTGGAATATCTCCAAGGATTTAGCGGTGGATAGGAGCGCTTGGAGGCTAGCAATCAACGTGCCAGAACCGTGACTTTTGCTCCTTTCTCTTCCTTTTGTTTTGAGTCCTTTTTGTGTTTCTCTTACCATTGGTTACCATTGGTTCTCTTGCGTTTCATCTCTAGCCTACCCCAACTGGGACTAAAAGGCTATGTTGTTGTTTGTTGTTGATAGTTTTTGGGACTGTGTGGGGCCTCGAGGGTGACCTGAGGGCTTGTGAGCCCGGGGTTTGACGAAGACTCTCCCATTTAAAACCTACTTCTTTTAGTAAACTAGGGAGCTCTTTCGTATAACAGGTCGTTTTCTCTGGGCCGCTTCCCAAGTGAGGACTGTTCCCCTACCATTCTTCTGCAGCAGACCGCCGCAGCAGCAGTTAACCACTTGCTGAAACGACTGATGCTAGACCTTTCATGCTCAATTACATCGACCCTGACGGCGAACAGGAAGTATGGGGAACGAAGATGGTGCGATCCGGTCGAAAGAGTCGTTTGGGAAGAGTCCNCCCGATAGGCTTTGAGGGATGCCCAGTTATTCTAGTAATTACTTAAAGATAACCATACAAACTTTTCGAAGCGAAGTGAAGTCAAAGAGCGTATTCGGAGGGCTTCGAAGACTTCCAAGGATATAAGGAAAGGCAGTGTTGGATCGATGTAATTGACCTCACCCTCGGACAGTAAAATATTCCCTTCGAGAGAGCCTGCAAATCCAAGATTTGGAGATTTTCAAAGTAAGACTTAGTCCACTCCCAGAGTTCGTCGAAGCAAGGTTCCGATCTATAGTGAATAGAGAGTTCTCTTAATCTACTCGTGAAATGAACATTTCGCTCTATCAACAGGTTGGTAAAGAGTTTCCTTTTCATTCCAAAGAATATATAGATCTATATCTATTGCTGCGAGTTCATCTGGAACCACTGTTTTAACCTGCGCTATCATAAATTCTACGGCCAGCACAGCCACACATCGCCTGGCGCCTGCATCGCACTATAGAATCCGCGGGTTGATTTACGAACCACTAAGTAAATCAAATCATGACCTTCGCCTTGTACCTAAAACTAGTACTTTGCGACATTCCACTTATCTTCCGCTTCCTGTTAGCTATCAGTCCTTCCTTCTACAGCTTCCTCTCTCTGTCTATTTCCATACCCAATAAATCTTATTCGCCGCACCTAAATCCTTCATTTCTAAGTCCCTGCCCAGTTCTTCCTTCAACTCATTAAGACTTTACATGCTATTAGACGCAATTAAGCATGTCATCAACGTACAGTAGCAGATATATGTACGCCCCATCTGCAAGTCTCCTGAAGTATAGACAGCCATCATACGCACTCCTTTTGTACCCCGGTGCTGTCATGAAAGAAAAAAATTGCTTGTACCATTGCCTGGGAGCCTCTTTCAGGCCATACAACGATTTTTTCAACTTTCAAACATAGTCCTTTTGCCGTGCACCTCAAACCCTTCAGGTTTACGCATCAGAGTGCAAAAGAAAGGAAAAAAAACAAGGCTGTTGCAACTGGAAGTGAGAGTCTCAGGGTTGATAATAGGGCTGATTTAGTTCAAGAGCCTATGCAGGAGATGGTTCTTGGCGATCAGTCAATGGAAGTTGTTGAGAAAGGTGTAGGTGACTCTCATATCTCTTGTGGGGGTTCAACTGAAAGACCTTCCTCTCTTTCCGGTCTTCAAGAGAATAGAGGGAAAGACATGGGTAAGATTGGTCAGATGCTTGTTGTCCAGGATCCGTCTCCGGAGGGTCCGTCTTCCACCTCCTCCCCCGGGCAGCACAAGTCGAGTATGGACGAATCTTCTACGGCTTCCTTGCTTATCTCACTATCATCCAACTGATCAATGCAATTGGAGGGGAATCGCTTGCCCATCTTCTTCCTTACCTCATTGAAAGGGCTTCCCCAAGGGTTGTTCATAAAGTGGAGTGCAGCGAAGAGCTGAGGAGTTTAAACAAAGAGTGGCTCGGCCTCTTGTGACAGACAGCCTTCGAAGCGGATTCCTATCCTACTAAGCTATTTAGTTTGTTGTTAGAATCTCTATCCTAGTAGTAGGAAGCTTTGCAGCGGCAACCGATAACAAGAACCGATGATATATCCGCTCTTGTTTTAGGAGCTCTTGTGGGAATACCTGAGACAAGTAGCTAAGCGAATAGGGTTATTAGCGAGGAGCGGAGGAGTTCTTAAACCAATGAGCTTCCTTCTCTTGCTGACTCTGCCAGGGCTGCCAGGAACCGCTTGGCTGATCACTCGGATCTATCTGCTCGTAAGTCGAATATTAGGTCCGAAAAGATCTTCACTTAAGTATCGAGACAGGAAAGATAAGTGTGACCGTGCCAGAGATATAATGTTTTACAAAAGCAAGCAAAGAAAATTATTAGATCAATTTTTTACATAAATAAAAATGAAGTAAGTAGAGTTAATGGGACGACTCCGCCTTCAATACAGAGGAAGCAAGTAGGGCACAGGCTTTGAGATTGGAGCCTTGCCCGAGAAGAGACCGATAGCACCTCTGACCCTTAGGCCTTTTTTCCGCTTACGGCTCGACTACGGATTGAGAAGTAGAAGTCCAACCGGAAAGAAGAGTCAGCATACGACCAAACAAACTTTTCGAAGCGAAGTTCAGTCATAGAAGTCGTTTTCTAAGCTCAGAAGGAACCGCTATAATGCCACCAAGCAACATATTAGTATTGGGAATACTAGTATTAAGCTTGATCTTTTTTTTTTTCGGTCTAGCTTTTGTTTTGTTATATGTTTTTATCTGCTTTCTTTTTAGCTTTTTCAAATTGTATAAGTCTCTATCTCGCGTGGCTGTCTATCCACTATTTTATGTGTATATGCTTCTGGTGGGGAAATCGTCCCGTCGTCTGAAACGGAAACGGGTGCCTCTGGCTCCGGATCAGGTGAGGGCGCTGGACGGGTCAGGGAAGCTTTATTTAATATGAGAAAGGGGGGCTACAAGAAACTTTCCCTTACCTTGCTTGTAGGCTCAGGATCGATAGCCCAATTGACGTCATAGGGAACGAGTGAACCCGCTGTTCCAAGAGCAGAAGTAGGCGCGTAAGCCACTTCATCTTCATTTACAGATTACGGAACATAGAAACTCTATAATAGGGGCATGAGAAAGGGGAAGTCCGCGTCTAAGACAGCCAGTGCTACTATATCGGATCGGGCAATCAGTTTAGCTGCTAAAACATCGGGGGAAATCCGACAACAACTATCGATTATCCAACAACTGGGCCAAAGGTTTGAAGATGCTCGACCCAACAAACTTTTCGAAGCGAAGTTCAGTCAAATTAGGGAGAGCAACCGATAAATTTCTTGAACGGCTACAGCCTACATAACTCATCTCCCTCTTTTCAAGGAAGTTAGTATCAGACCATATGTAGTTCTCGGCCCCTTTTGTTAGACCAGTTCCTTTCGGTGCTGACTTTCTTACAGCCCCGGTACTGTACTGAAGTGGCTTCTTCACTCCAGCACAGAAGTATTCTGGTGCGCCTCATCTCTATCCCAAGCAGTAAGGCTCGGTAGAGCTAGTTTACTACTCAGGGAAAGGCTGCGGAGAAGTTCTTACGTCTGGCATGGAATCCAAGGGAATGGTCTCTTACAAGGGTGCCGGTGGCAACAAGGGAATGGTATTTAGTAATAACAGGTAGCTTTCACTAGCAACACCTCCTATCAATAAGTCATTATATATCGTGGTTAGCTGTTCTACATTTTGGCGTAGAATTTCGACATTGTCGAGAATTTCTACATTCGTTGCGTTTCCGCCGACGGTTATGTCTGCCGGAACTAAGAAGTCAATTACGTCATAGGTCAATTATATCGAGCCTGGGGGCAAATTAACATTATTTGCAGCAAAAAGCGGCTTTATCAGGTCTTCACTAATCGTCTCTTTTAGCGTTTCCGCCACGGATTCATTCACCTTTAATTGATAGTTAGTCGCGTTTACTCGCAGCCTACCGACGCGAAAGCTTGCTATTAGTAAAATAAAAAATGGTAAGGCTAATCCAGCAATCAAGTTCAAAAAATGTGTCAAGGCTCGATGTAATTGACCATTTCTTTCTCTTTTTCTTTGCATTTCGCTTTCCTTTCGCTCCTCTCCCCTAACTCGTAGTTAGACTAAGAGCGAGTGGCTAGGCTCCTTCACCTCGTTCGTACTTCGCTAGAACGATCTTTGTATGTACAGGTCTCGGTAGCTCATCTCCTTCTAAGAAGTCTGATCTCCTTCCTATATTCTAAAAAGAAAAAGAGCCTTTCTTAACTCTTGAATTGTAAGGAGAGGCCTTATTTAGGAGCGCTCTTTTCATCCAACTCGAAATATCGTAAATAAGCGGTTCAAGAATGTTACGCCCAAACAATCCCCATGTCTTTTTTGCTTAATCTAAGGCTGTAGGGTTCACAGAAAGCTTTTGTTGAGTGAGCAGGAATAGCTTCTTAATTCACACGGTGAGCCTCTCTTTTCTGTCTTTGTGTTCCGTTGCGTGCCGTGCCCTACCCGCCAGTCTTCCCTATCGAAGCTATATCAATAGAGCCAACCTCGATCAACCTTTCCTTCAGCCTTCAGCCCCCTCTCCGCCAAGTCAATGGTTAATAAGTAACTAGGTCGGTAGGCAATCCTAAAACATGGCGCTTCGGCCGCTGGTGAAGATGGGACCTGCGAAGGAAGTAAGCACCCTAAGACTGGGTTTTGAACAGGCCCTGAATCCGCGACTACTCGGCCAACTGCATCCTCGGGACGTAACAAAACATATGTTAGGATTCGAACCTTTGCTTCGTGAGCCTTTTATCATAATTCTGACTTATGTCATTCTACGAAGAATGTTGGCAGAGGAAAGAAATAGGAAGATACGGTGGGCTTTGCCTGCTCTCCTAACGGTCATTCTTTAGAAAGAGAGAGAGGGTAAAAACGAAGCGAAGTGAAATCAAGTCTCACATAGAATAGAAGCTTATTTGCGCTTCATACTATCCGATATCTTTTCTACTTTCAAGAACAAAGAGCTTCGCTCTACTCTAACGCTAGGTCAGCTGGGTCCTGACAGGAACTATATCTATCTATTCAATTCCTCAGATCAAAGGCACTCAGCAGCCTTTCTGCTATCAGAACAATTCACTCCAGATGGACGCTGAATACGCTTTCGCGATAGGTATTCGTGGAGCTTGCGTAATGTATGTAGTTGTCAGCGGATGAGAAAGTAGCTCTAATCCGCTGACGACGCACTAAGTCATAAACGGCTTCTATGTAGTATGATCCTTAACTGGATCTTCACCTGCTTCAAAATCCTAGCCTTTACCCCTAAGAGGCGGAGCCCCACCCACTACTCCAATAGCGATGGATTGACCTGTCTCCTCTAGCGTATTGGATTCATCGGCTTAAATTCCAGAGGGAGAGGTCCTAAAGGACTAAGGCAATCAGGACTGGGAACACCCGCTAGAGCGTTATTGCTCCATAGGACTTAATGGCACCCGTTGCGTAGCGGCTCGCAGTCTAGCTACGGGTGTCATGGAGTACGGACAGCGGATTGTACTTTTTAAGCTCCATCCCATGAGCTACTTTTTCCATTCCAGTCCTTTCTCGCTTCTCTTACTCAATTGAGTAAGTCTTCAAAGAACCCGAGTGAGGAATGAAAGACCGAACCTGAAGATAGCACCTACTTCCTCATTGGCATAAGCAGAATCAGGCGATCCGACGATTTTGCTGTTCATAGATTCGTCTTCATCTAAGATCTTTGAATTGATTGGTTTTCTACTGCTTTCCCTGCATACCTGATGAAGCAGGGGAGAAGAGATGAATTGAAAGACTATGTCCCAGCGCTAGAAGGACAATAGGGGAAGGATGTGCCTTCAATCGTCAATCGACAGTAGTCTCCTTCATCAACGTCAACGGCATTTTAGGTAAACATAAGCAGCATCTTTGAGGCTTCATAGACGACATGTTAAGGTCTTCCTGCTCGGGTAGGTACTCACAAACAAGCCATTCAAGGTAGGTAGGTTTAGACCAAGCCAGAGCAAGCTTCAAGCTAAGCAAGGGTGGTGGGTCAGATACGGAGGCGGAGGAACAGAGAGAGTGCTTCCCGATCAAGCTCTCAGAGAGAGAGCTCTTGTACAAGGAAGCTACGTACACATTTGAAAACTGAAAGCGACCAAGAAAACCCCTGTTGCTTCCATAAGTCTCCTACCCTAAGTTTCTTTCTCTGCATGAATCAAGTTCTTCGACAGGACCATCCCGACCGAGGGCTAATCATAGATCTACTATGGTATTTTTTTTTATTCTTTTATCGGTTAATCGCCTTTTCTGGAAGCATTATGTTGAGTCACTCCAAGAGTAGAATCAGCAGCTCACCTCACGTTTTAGGAACCAAATGAGGAATCACACGTAGACGGACCTGAGCATTCTCCTGCTCTACGGAGCCCTCTGGAGCTAGAGTTTGGGCTGCTTGACGCTCTTCTCCTTTCGAGTGAATTGAATTACTTCGGCTCGGGTGCCTTTGATCAAATGGAAGGATGGATGCCTGCCTTTAGCGACTTCGTTCGGTAATTCCTTATTTACTTGTTCGCTATGGCTTGAGAGTGAATCGCACGAGATAGTAAGTAAGAGATTGAAAAGAGGTCAATTATATCGAGCCTCGCTCTCGGGCCCAGAGGCAGAGCAAAGAAAGACTTAGATCTTTGCTTGTTTCGTGGTATGGACCAAAGCAAAGGTTCTGCTGCTTAAGTTCTGAGAGTGATCGAAAGACAGGTCTTAACGAGCCTTTTTTATGACTGAACTTCGCTTCGCTTCTAAAGTTTGTTGGGTCGATACATCGAAAAGAAGCCGAGCAATGAAGGCCACTGAGTACAGGAACAGACCAGGTGGAAGCGGAAAATCCATCAATTCTGAGACAAGAAAGACGGAAGCTCAGAGTTTACATCCGGAAAGAAGGACTCACGACGGTTGCTAACCTCCAAAGCATGCATGTGACGGACCAGAAAACTGAACGTCTAACCATTCCATCCTAGGCTTTCCCGCGCGTTACGTAATATTATTATTATTCTTATTATCCGGACTTTTTGTTTTTAGTCCAAAACGGATTCATATTAGTACCTCTTGAGGGAGACGCTTGGCGCACTTGAAACCACCTCTGACTCTGAATTGAAAATCGCTTCCCAGCAGCTTGTGGGGATACCGGTGGGACAATGCACCTTTATGCCTTAAAGAATGAATGAAACCAACGCCCTACGGACTTCCGCCTGTCTCCGTGGTCGAAGAAGACTAATGATGATTGGCGTCAGTTTGAAGATTCTCGAAACGAAAGCTATTAGACCGGGCTTCCCCTAGATGGATTTCCTTGCATGCATATAGAACCTAAAAACTCTAAGAAAATAAAGAAAGCATACCCTCGAAAGAGTCCGGAAAGGAAGAAAGCTAAGTCAATCCTATCTTGAAGCAATTGGTTCCCCCGAGCTGTGCTCACCTGAACGTCTTTCTCTTCCCTCCTGCCGGGAGACTGAAGGCGTTAGCTACAGCACTGCACGGGTGCTTTCGGGGTCGAGTTCCTCTCTAGCCTTGCTCCGGTCTTAGTCTCGGAGTAAACTCCTCTTGAGCAATTTGTGTTAGTAGCTGCCGTTACCGGTGTTGTTAGTAGCTCCGTTCGTAGTGGGACGCACTAATGGCTAACAGTCAGCCTCTGAGTTAGAGCTGTAGCTTAGTGTGTTCAGAGTTTGCTGCCAAGCGTTTATCTGAGTCAAGTGGAGTTCAGGGATTCTTCAAAAGAGGGGCTCAAGCGTAACGGGTTGTTAATTTTTGAATATAGAACGCGCGGCTTCGTCGCCTCGCTCTGCCTTTCAGCAACTAGCTCTATTCCTGCTTGTCTGACTCTGACGGATCTCTACCTGCTATTGATCTTGGTTCCGGATCGGTGCATTAGCAGGATAAGGCCACCTCTATCTCGTCGAATTAAGTATCTATCTTATTTCATTCTGGTTGCTAGGCCAGGATCAGTAGCAGCTAGTTAATCCCTTCCTCACGGAATGCACCCAAGGCCGAATCCGCTGAGCCGTTATCCGCATAGGCCCAATTTCAGTTATCGGCTGATTTTGTAAGTCCTTCTTCTGCGGAAGAGGAAGCTTGCACATCTACCACTTCTTTCCATTGTGATTGACTTCCTTATTAGTGAATGCGCCGATCAGGGCTATCACTAGTGCCACGGGCTGGGTTCAGGGGCACAGGAAGAGGTTTTGAACCCTCTATCCGTCCCTTTCAAGCCATTTGCTGATCAGTCTTCTGCGCCTTCTTAGGACAATGTTAGCTTTCGTAGTTGGGGGTTTCTTATAAAAGAGTAGAAAAAACTGTTTTCAGAGTTAAGACACAGCCAGTTCCATTTCTTTTACTTCATTTAATTTAGAGCCTGTTGTTATAGTACAATTCTAGGGATCTTACCTGTACTCTACGAATGCTGGGTGTAAAAATAAATCCTCTCTCCCTGCCTGCCATTGGAAGTGCTCTTGTTAAACCTGTGGGAAATTCTGTTACATCTCGGCCAGCCCTTCCATTTTGTTTTGAATCACTTGTGTAATACAGTGCTAAGGCGTAAGTAAGACAGTCCATTTTCTAACCCATTCTACCTGCTTGCCAGGGGGAATGCATTCGACCCAACAAACTTTTCGAAGCGAAGTGAAGTCATAAAAGGAAGAATAGCGTTCAAGCAGAACCAGGTTCACCAGGCGTACTTAGTTGGAAGTTTTGTAAATGAATGTATAGTTTTTCTACATCTTTGATTTGACGCTAGGATGCAGGAACTTTGGGGACAAAGAAATTTTTGGAGTTACCTTTTTTTTAGTACACAGACTTGATTGAGGGTCGATGTAATTGAGCTTTCTTTTTCCGTACGCAAGGGAAGCTTAGTCTTTCGGACCTTTCAATCTCGCAACTTTCTTTTATTAGCTTAGGGCCGCTCGCACGCTTGTTGGGCTGTTGAAGGTCTTGCAATAAAATAAGAAAGACAGACTCCTACCGGGAAAGAAATTGATTTAAAAAGAAGAGAAAGACAGCCTGATCGTTCGACTTCTACCCCCACGGAGCGGTAATTTGAATAAGGAAGTTTCAGACCCACTCAAGCGAACTAGCAAAGACAAAGAAGCGACAATTAACATTGCCTGGTCTTGAGGGCAGGGACTTTTCCTACAAGACGGCGAAACTAAGCAGAAATACGAAGTGGAAGTCATTCTTTATCCAAGCCAACCGCTTTCAAGCCCCTCTCTGCTGGATCTGTCCTTTGAGACGACTATGCCCTACTAGTTTACTTAGTCCCTTCCCCCATCCAGAACTGCTATCCCGCCTGGGAATCTACTGCTACCTACTCCAATATAAGGCTTGGGTGAATCCACAGATTGGATCCCGACATAAGTACTCTATCCACTGCTTCTTCTTCTTTCCCTTGGCAAGTATAACTCTTCTAACAAAGGAAGCTAGGTTAGGATAGAAAGGATCAGGATTACTTGAGGGGATGGCTAGGGATCAGCTGAGTAAGATAGGGAAGGAAAGGAAAGAGGTCCTAAAGGCAGGACTACAAACCCCGGAAATAGAAGGTCTTGATTTACGTATTCCTCTTCTAACACATCTACTATTGAAAGTTCAGATTCCTCAACAGGAAGATCAACTAAACATTTCCAGGTCTTGGAAAGGCTTAGCCTTCCTCACAAGAGGCATCCCTACCTCTGGACATATAATGAGATTTTAGTAATGATATTTAGGAATCGGGTTGAGCCGAGGCAGGAGTGACATCACCCGGAGCATATATATGAGATTTCTAATTGAGTAAGAGAGGAAAGAATAGAGAGCTGCTACTAGGAAGATAACTGCTATTTCCTTTCCTGTACTTTCTCTTAAGACTGATTCTATACGGAAAGGTGTCCTACGACTAGGAGTTCACCTTCCCTCCCTATGGTGTGTTAGAAGGAATGCTTACTGGGGGGGGTATAAAGAAGAGGTTTTCTCTCCTTAACGGACTAATCCCTCTGGTCCTCAACTCCCTTCTCCGGTGTAAGTCATTAAGAATGTGTGTGACAGGTCTGTGCCGGGTACTAGAAAGAGGATCACTTCAGTCAACAGTCAACTTCTTAGAGTACGGTTCATCCGACCAGATCTGGGAATCTATCTCATATCGATTACTAAAAAGAAGACTTCTTCAACCACCACATCGACCGGTGTAGCGAACCTTTTAGTTGCTGATACCACCTTTCTGGATTCTACCGACCCCAGTCCCCCTCTGGGGAATCTATAGACAGAAGGAAATGTCAGTCGAGCTCTTTTAGAATCATTGACATTAGAGGGTCAGTCACCGTCAATATTAGATTCTACGGCCAATGCTGCTAAATTAAAATAGCAATGCTCGATATAATTGACCTGGGGCCTTTTGAAACAAGGGGCTTTACTAATATAATATAGAAATGGAAAGAAGATAAAGATACCTAGTTTGCGCTGTTAGAATCCATTGGAGAAAGGCTTGCTCACTTCTTCATCTGTGAGATGATCGTATTCTCCAAATTTGAGAATAATGGGATTGTGGAGTGAAAGAACCTTTTCACCGAAAGGAGCATTCATCAGGTTCGGCTAAGCTCTGAACAAGAATCAGTATAGGCGCAATAAGAAAGAGAGTGAGTTGAATCCTTACTACTTATGACTTCACTTCGCTTCGCTTCGTTCGTACACTTCAAATTCGATTACAAATATGGTTGAGTGGCAGTTGAATGAGTCAGCGATGCTCTAATATAAAGGGTAAAGTAAAGGTGTCGAAGTGGAGGAAAACCAACAAGATCTCAACAATAATCACTAGGCTTAACGCTCTCTTCACCGAATCACCATAGTGAACTTCCGCGATCCTCGTCCACTTCTCCACTGTCATAAAAAGCCTGAATCTCCTTCTCGGGCAGGCCATAACACCTTCATTTCCTCAGCTAAACACAAAGACTCACTCCTCGATGTAGGTAAGCGACTGGAAGAGTATTCAAAAGAATTGTTTCAAGAAGACAACTAGCATTGCTTACACAATCAGGGAGGAATTACTCAATATTCACTGAAGCATCAGAAGAAAGCTCAGTGGCAGGTTCAGCACTATCCATCCTGCGTTATTCCCTATCATCTGATGGCACCAGTCAGCATCAGTTTCCATAAAGGAGTTGAGCAGCTAGCAGGTTAGGGTCGATGTAATTGAGAGAAAGAAGCATCAACTCCAGATCCTTCAAAATGGCATTCAATCTTTCTATTACCATATCCACCCCAGGTCCACGCAGTGAAGAAGCATGGCGCATTAGTTCATCAGTAGACTCTCACCAGTAAGGGCACGCAGATATGTTCTAGATGTAAAGATTTTCACAAAGCACCTCAAAGCATTACGATCTCTTACAGCCTGAAGGCTATTATTGTGTAAATATAACAGAGGACAATCGGATAAATGTTCAAGAGAAATGAGAGAGTCTAGCTTCCGAAAAAGCTCGGTAAACAGGAATGCTCTGTTGGGCTAATTCCTGTTCCCTTCCTTTTTCTGTTTTTCCACCAAGTAAGGAAAGACCCGACCCACTAATGGAATGGGACTATAACCATACTTCCACGGTCTAGCTTCAAGGACAATACAGATTGAGGCTTGGAGCATGGACCCAATTTTTAGGGCATTTAAGGACGGACTCGCTAGTGTCCCAGAGGTCAACTGACCACTAACAACATTGACCTAATCTATTTCCACAGGATTGAATCCATAGAAACCTTGGCTTAGTGCCATTACTGTAAGCGGCGGATGATTGGTATGCAGGATCGGTTGCAACGGTTTCACACTGATGTGATTGGAACTAGTCATTGGACCCGAGATTGGGATAAGTCCTTCTTCTTATTTTTTTCTTGTTCTTGCTTGGCTGTAGATCAGAGAATTTCCTTCCTTTCTAAACCTAGAAATGTGGTTTCAATCCTATAGTAGAGCCAGTACAGGGATGAAGATGAACATCTTAAGTTTTTTATTCAAAATATATATGCGCTCTTCTTCTGTACTTCACTTCTGGTAAGTCTCATCGGTTTTCTGGCAATATCACGCATAGAATCTTTGACCAGCAACGGTCGAGCAACCGATACATTTCTTGAACGGCTACAGCCTACATAACTCATCTCCCTCTTTTCTAGGAACTGAGCAATCAAAAAATGGCCGGAAGAACTACATAAGGTCTGATACCAACCATCTCACTTTTTTAAGTTGACTTGGACTGGTTATATAGGCGCTCGTTACTGCTTCACTAGACAAGATGGTAGGGCGAGTTCGACCTATTACCGGAAAAACTCTCTAATGCTGATGATCAAACTTCGGATGTCTATGAGAAGGAAGCTTCTCACAGATATTGACTCTTAGATAGATACCAGCATAGTATCTTAATTAACAGTTTCTTGAACTTGGTTCACTGAGGTCAATTATATCGAGCCTTCCCATGCCATTAGTCTAGCTCACTCCGTCTTCCGCGCATCAAAGAAAAGATTTTCGTCTCCAACTCTAATAAAAAAGACATTCTCCACGATATACTTACCCTTACCGCTCCGTGGGTGTCAAGGCTGACTGAATTTCATGCTTTTAAGGCAACTTCTCGATTGGAATTAGGCTTTCACCAGAGGATCACTGAAACTACCTTTCTATATTTACCCAATTTGATCCACTAGCTGAATGCCGTACCTTCCAGAGAGGTGGATCTGCCATTGAACTGTTCAAAACCTTTATTATATATATTAATAGAAGAAAGAGCTCTTAGTCTACCCGAAGGAAAGTCAAGAGGTAAGGCTTGGTAGCTGTCCATGCAAGGAAGCAGGCGAAGGAAAGGATCGATATAATTGAGAATAAGAAGAGTAAAGCCTAAATTCAGTCTAGACTGCGGTATGGTATGAAATAGGTTATGAAGCGCGGGATCACTCGACGAAGAATCCGAGTCCGAACCCAATCCATACTTAGAAGAGTGTTTACAAGGGTACTCCTAATGTGCTTGAAGAGCAGCCTCCTTCCGTCACATCCGAAGAAGAGAAGGAACCAGAACTTGGAGGGAAGCTATACCAGCTCTTTCAGTTCAAGTGCAGTTGACGAAGGAAGAAGGCAGAAAGGCTAGAGAATTGTATTACGACGCTATGTCTATGGAAAAATCAGTCATGAACCAAACCCCCTGTTTTCAGGCTCTCATGAAGCCTTAGGGCGAAAGCTATTATTCCTCTAACATTGGGAACTTCGCTCACTTCCTCAAACACTTGAGACTGAGGCGCATTCGAAAGAATACATCTATGACTAGAGAATTAGGTATAGGAAGAATAGATCTACGCTTCGAGCTGCTTTAGAGCTCAATTACACTTTTCCTCTCCAGAGATTGAACTTCGCTTCTAAATTACATCTATCCTGGCAACGTCAAGTCTCACTTTGCTCTCCTTCTTTAGGAGTGAAAGAAAGCGCCTTTGAACCCCTCCCTTATAGTTAGCCCGGAGTGGGAAAGCATTTAGCCATTCGTAGATGTAGGGGAATCGAAAAAGCATCTTTGAAGGAATTATCTAATAAGATATTATACTATGCTTTCTTAGTTAGAAGAAGAAAGTCTTCCCTTGGCTACTTACTTAGGAGCAAGCTTAAACCTCAACTTCTAAGACCCTAACTACGCTGTCGAGGGAGCTCTTTCAAGAGCCCATCCTACACATATTTATTCTTTCCCGAGCTTGCCCTATTATATAAAGCGAAAGATGGTCGACTCATATTCTTTGCTTCACTTCGCTTCTAAAGTTGGGGCGAAGGAGATAGAGCTAGTTTCAATTCAAAGCAGTCGATTGAAGCGGTAAAGGTAGGCCGGGAAAAAGGAAAGCAAAGTCAGTAACTCTTGAAGTTGGTGTTTCAGGTTAGGCAGATTAGACCATATGGAAGTGATTCCTGAGTTTCTTCGCACAGGGTTTGAATTGAAATTGAAGTAGTTAAGTCAGTTTTGTCTACATCTTCTCTGCAATTACACCAGGAAAGAAAGCAGATACTGATGCTGAATGCACTTAACAAATCCCATGTCTGAATGCCTTAAACTTCGATTCCAAAGAAAGCAGAACTAGACTGCCAACGATCTGACGATAGAGAGTCTTCACCTTCTAGACCTGCTTTCGCCTAATGGTCATTTTTTTCTTTCCTTCTGTCTTTCGGGGATGGGATAGCGGTTGGGTGGTTAGGACACCCCCATCTTTCGAGATAAAGAAGGGCGGGAGCTTTTTGTACGTCGTATGCCTACTTTTGAAATTTAAGCCGAACGAACGAAGCTATAATTCTTTCCCACCGACACTTCTCTTCTGGCTTGATTTCAGGCTTCAAGCCGGGCTCATGCTATGGTCAAGTCTAGTTAGGTCCTCTCACTAGCTAAACTCTCAACCCGATACGGAAACATCGGATTCTTCATTCATGTCATCTCGGTGTCGTCGGGTCTTGCTTGGTATCAATCCCTCCTGGTGGCGGGAAGTAAGATGAGGGGGGGAACCCTGGGGAAGAGGATCAAGTTGGCCCTTTCGAACAGCTTGCTGTATTTCCTGCTCTTTAAGCAGCTCAATGTAACCTTCCCCTCCGAAGTTATATGACTGAACTTCGCCAATACTTTTGACTTCACTGAACAAGCAACGGATTGAGCAACTAGCGCGAAAGCCGTTGCGCTAACGCGCATCCGTTTTCTTGCTGCTTCGAAAAGTTTGTTTGCTTTTTTTTTTTCATTTTTGAGGATCTCAATTACATCGACCCTCAACCAAGGAGGGATGGTCGGTCAAAAGCGGGGTAGGCTACCAATACCAAGTAAGTAAATTCCGGTATTGTCTAAATAACAATGAAGCAAGAGCAAGCCAGGAAGAAAGTCCGTACTATTACTGCGCTGGGTGACAGGGTGCCGTCAGGCAGCTCGACCAACGGGAGAGTCAAGGAGAGCGAAGTGAGACTCAAAGAACGAAGCGAAGTTCAATCTCTGGAGAGGGACGAGGGTAAATGTAATTTAGAAGCGAAGTTCAGTCATAGACGGGAAATCCGCTTGGAAAGCGCGGCTGCAGGAGTGAAAGATTTCATAGATATGGTTGGTTCCTCAGTGACTCAGAAATGCACCACCTCTTAGCTCCGCTTGGATGCGCTGACCCTTCTCTGGAAATACTGGGATTTCCGCTTTTGCTCTTGCATTCCATAATGGGACTCTTCGTCTATTCTCTTCGGGGGATAGCAGCAATCTGCAGGTTCGAGAGACCTGTGGAAGAGGAAGAGAAGCACGACTCTCTTATACAATAAGTAGGGAACAGAGCTGCACCCTAGGAAAGAATATGCTCCCTTTAATCAATAAGCGGGAGAGGGCGGACTGACTCAAAGAAACGAAAGAGAAGTATGAAAAGATAGAAAGAGATTCCTCGACAAAGAAGGAGTCTCAAGCAGATCCAAAAATGGAAATAAGTATACTGATTGACTAACTACACTAGTGAAGCATAAAGTGAAATGACTTCCTTTATGACTTCACTTCGCTTCGAAAAGTTCGTTGGGTTTACTATGCTAAAGCAGAGGGTTAGAACCATGCGTCTTTGACTACCAATGGGGATTCGGCAGAGACTTTTGACACCCGAGAGACTCTCTCTTATAGTGGCATTCTCTTCTCTTTACCTTTCCCCTCTCCCACTGATAGGTAAATTCCTGTCTGGAAAGCAATCAGGTAAGCGAGCGAGTTCGACTTCTAGGAGTTAGAGTCCCTAAGGCTAACAAGCAAGTTAAAGCAATGCTGGAGTCAGTCAGCCATTGGGAGTTGCCATAGGTTGTATTCCTAAGCAGGAAGAGTTTGCGAGCCAGTGACAGTTGGAGTTGCTTGACTTGGTAGAGTGACGCATTCCCATTCTTCGGCTGCTTTATTTGCGTAAATGAAGGATAAGTGAAAGGGACGCCTTTGAAGCAACGTCAATTACATCGAACCTCTCCTTTCGCGTCGAGCATATGTTATAACCTTTCCTTCACTTCGCTTCTAAAGTTGAGGTCAATTACATCGAGCCTTCATGCAGCCAAAGTGTTAGCGGTACCTCCTCCTATGTCTCCATTGTGAGAATGGCTTGATATTTCATTTGGATGCATGCAACTAAAATCAACAATTGGTATCAGAGCCCGGGTTATTTTCTTAGTATGCTCTGTGGTTGCAGCGTAGACTGATCTTCCACATCAGAAAAGAATTTCTTGGGTTGTTGGTATTCCGCATTTGACAGCTATTAAATAGTTTTTGGCATGGAGATGGCTGATCAATCCACATCCACTGAGTTGGCAGTTCCTTCCAGTTCAGGGAGAACTGCAGTCACAAATGCTCGATTTGCAGTGGAAATTTTTGATGGTACAGGCCATTTCGGCATGTGGCAGTGTGAAGTTCTAGACGCTCTCTTTCAGCAAGGTCTAGATATTGCCATTGAAGCAGAGAAAGCAGAAAAGATGGAGGAGAATGAGTGGAGCACTCTGAATCGTTTGGCATGTGGTACAATCAGATCATGTCTTTCAAAAGAGCAGAAGTATACATTCTCAAAAGAAACTTCTGGTAGTAGATTGTGGAAAGCATTGGAGGAGAAATTTTTGAAGAAAAACAGTCAGAATAAGCTCTATATGAAGAGGAGACTGTTTCGTTTCTCTTATGTTCCTGGTACCACTATGAATGATCACATTAGAAATTTGAATCAGCTGGTGGCTGATTTACTGAATTTGGATGTGACTTTTAAAGATGAAGATCTGGCTCTGATGTTGCTGGGATCCCTTCCTGAGGAGTTTGAGTTTCAAGAAACTGCTCTACTCCATGGGAAAACGGACGTGTCTCTCAGTGAAGTTTGTGCTGCTTTGTATAGTTATGAGTTGAGAAGAAAAGACAAGAAAGGAAGCACTGGTGGAGCAGGAGAGGCTCTTGTGATCAGAGGCCGTTCACAAATCCAAAACAGAGGAAAGAAGGGGAGATCCAAGTCGAGGCCCAGGCTGAGCAAAGATGAATGTGCCTTTTGCCGAGAAAAAAGGGCACTGGAAGAAGAACTGCCCAAAGCTGAAGAATAAAGGTATACCCGACAAAGAAAAAGCTGCTGCAGACTCAAATGTAGCTGAGTGTGATGAAGACTCAGACCTTTCACTGGTTGTTACTCCAACTAGCTCTTCAAATGCATGGCTTCTGGATTCTGGTTGTAGCCATCATATGTGTCCCAATCGGGATTGGTTCAATCCGCTTGAGGAATTCTGATGGATCAACCAGGATTTTGACAGGTGTCCGATATGTACCGAGTTTGAAGAAAAATCTCATATCTGTGGGAGTCCTAGAATCCATGGGCTTCACATTGATTGCTAAAGAAGGAGTTATGAGGATCATCTCTGGTGCACTTGTGGTGATGAAAGGAATTCGGAGAAGAAATAACTTATACTACTATCAGGACGAAGGCCATTTATGGGTGAGCCGATAGGCGAATGGGGCAAAAGCAACCAAAGGCATTTCCACTACTAGCTGGCATGTCTAATGTTCTTTTGTCTATCTCATATATGGTCAAAAGTACTCAATTTTGACGATTTAGAATTCGATTTCATTAAGGAAATCGAGTTACGGCTAAAATCCCCGTCTTTCCTCAAAGTGAACCGGTACGCATGGATAACCCCGTATGGGACCCGATCCCCGGGAGGATAGTATGGATGCGCCCGACTTAAACTATTCAGCTTGTTAGCTGCGGGTACACCTTCTTTGCCTATCGGCTCAGCAGACTTATTCGCTTCGCTACGCTCTTACCTTCGTAGCGTTCGCTGCTTATGCAGCTCACCTCCTTCGGAGCCTCTTTCGCATCTTCGCCAATACTTCTGACTTCACTTCGCTTCGCTTCGTTCGTTGGAGGAGATTGACTCTAAACTTGGGATCGGGGCGTGAAGTAGATCTATCTTTACCGAAGCAATTAAGGAATTTCTAAAGGGGATCCTAAAGAGCAAGAGCTTTCTCACAACTCGAACACATCTTTTTCTTCTCTTACGATATTTCAGAATTGCCATTGCATGCCACGCTTGGACTTGTCTTGATAGTTTCTATTCTATTTCTCCCTTAGAAGAGAGATCTCGGCGGGAACCAACGATCTCCTCTCCCCATGTGATAAGGTAATAAGAAGAGACTCTCGAAGGGTGCTCTTCTTTCCTGTCTCTGAACTCGGGCAAGGAAGAAGCGAAGGGACATCGTAGAAAAGGTGTCTAGGGAAGCTCTTTGGGTTGTGAAAGACCCGGACGAGAGATCTTAAACTGGTCATAGCACCAAGCGAGGAGGAATCATCAAGTCAAAGGTTCTATGCCAATTGAAAGAAAGCTGAAGAGCGAGTCGAAAGTGGGTCTTCTTCCTTAATCAATGGAAAGAGAAAGAGCTTGAGTTAAATCCGGTCTTGATACTTCAGCAGTTGGAAAAGAGCGTCTTGATTAGAAAGTACTTTTCGATGCCTCAGGTCTTTGCTTTAGGTGATCTTGGCTGTAGAATCTCTCTCGTCAAATCAGATGTTTCCACTTCGTAATATCCGGGAATCCATTTATCTCAACTCGCTTTCCTCATTCCTTGAGACCCAGTTTCAGCATTGAAGTCATTCACCTTAGTGAGTTCTCTTGTCTTCCTGCTTCGATATCTAAGACGCTTCAAAGAGTGGCGTGGCATTGCTGCTTTATACTTTGATGCCGGAATTCAATCCCAAAGAAGAGGAAGACATCGGAACATCGGAGAAGATCTCGTCGATCCGGACATCAACGCTTCAGAGTCTAAAAAGAAGAGCTGAGCTAGCTCTATCCTACGTATTCGCTCTTTCCTATCAGACTGAACACATCACTAATAGTCATAGGTTGAAGACACCTACCCTAAGGCAAGTTTTCTATTTAATCAACAATAGCCTATAGTTCACAATATAGAACCAATACTGGTGATCGGGAAATGTAGAAGTGATAACTTCCGCAAATCGACTCGTCAGCCTTAAATACGTAATGGAGAATTAGTAGATGCAATTAGCAATGGAGAAGACGAATCTCATTTAGAGCTCAGTCAACACCAATCAGCGTGGAAGAAAGGCAAGAAAGACCAAGACGTTAACTACCTTCAATTGGAAAAACTACGATCTGACTATTATGAATTGACAATTTATGGAAAGAAAGACTTTTGTGAAGAGGAAGAAAAAGAACGGAAAGAATTTTCAAATCCTCTCGAAGGAGACATTTTTCTCTACCGCTAGACTCGCGCAAGGAGGGAACTACCTCATCGTCCCACCACTGTGAATCCATCCTCTTTTCTCTGTGCATTTCTATCTCTTCTCGGGATTCGATCCGGTTCAACGTCAGCGAATGCTTGGTTCAATTCCTATCACTCATGAACGTATGCTTGTCGCCTCTTATTCTAGAACTGTGGGAGAACGATAGAGGGAAGAACTTCCATGAAATAGTCAATACGGCGGCTTACCTTGAATTCCTCACCAAGGAGTGAGAAGCCGGTCAAGACTAGTTCTGAAAAAGGAATGAACTGCAGGAGCCTACGTTGACTTTCTGAATTCACTCCTCCTCTAAAGTGAACCTATGTAGCTTCCCTTCTTCATCGACCGAAGCCTTGCCTAAGGGAAATCAACTACAAAATGAATTGCGTACTTTCAGTCTGATCTCGGCAGGGAGTTGAGTTCGGAGCGTCCCTAGCTTTACCTAATCTGGCCTTCTTTTTGCCTATCCCTTTTCTAAAGGAATAAAAACCTGGTTCGCTGGCAAAGCTTTCACCCGAGCTTGTTTTTCATTACAAATAGTTGTTCACTCAAATTTCCGTTGAATCTCAAACCGAAGAGAAAGTGAAACACTTTAGCTGCTGTTGTATAGGCAACTGTTGCTTCTGGAGGGTCAACTAATGGCATTGGCTGTCACACTTCCTGCCTCTTGCCTTGGGAAAGACGGAACATCTGGAATGCCACTATCGGGAAGAGAAGCAAAATATACTCCACCTGAATGAAAGACTCACACACCCTTTGATGGAACTGGCTCGCATGGAAGGAGAAAGAAAGGTTTTTATTCCTTGCCTAGTCGCTTTTACCGGTTAGCTACAGGTCTCTCGAGCCATGCTATAGTCGCTTCCGATCAGGCTTCCACAGGCGCTAGCTACAGGACAGGCGTTCTATTGACGACCCGACCTTAGGTAGAGCGTAAGTCGTGCTACTCACCCTCGGATCACTCGCGTAGCTCACCTTTAGGATGCTTTCAAATAGTCCCAAGTTGTTGTTATCTTTTACTTCCTGGTGCAAATGCCAGTTGGAATTTCTCTATCAATTGTCGTAGGTGAATAGGTTCGCTAGAGGAATGAAGAGCAGCTGCGGGTACTTTACCGAAGTCCTATCCATCCCTTCTATCTAATAATGCTACAGACCCGAGGAAAGCACTTGTCAAATGACAGCTTCTTAGGACACCACTTTCAGTTGAAACATCGGCAGAGTGAATTACTTTGTGAAAATCAATCTTCTAAGAAAGCAAGGGAGCTCAACCCGCATCGGTCGGCATGCTCTGAATGAATATACATGTACCATAGACATGTACGAGAGGACGTAAAGGGCTCCTTGTGACCGACCAATCATCATAAGAAAATGGTCTTCTTGATCGTTGGGAGTTCGTTCCAATAGTCCTACTTCCGCTCTCTCTGCAGTTTCCTACTCGGTAGGTCAGAATAGCTAATGTCTCCATGACTATTATCCCGGTGAGCTCCCACTATTCCCTATCGTGTCATTTGACAGAGGATAGGCTCTTCTACACTTCTTCGCGTGCCCTTGGCTCTATTCGTCCTTGGCTGTAGCAGGGGCTTGAGGGGGACCTCCGCCTACTGTAGTAGGACTTTGCCTTAGCCTTTAGGTGAAAAAGTATCTTACTCTGATATGAGGACTTCCTATTCCGAACATCTCGGTGGATGCTTTTTTCCCCTGTTCATAGCTACTCTGTGCTGGGGCAGTCTATCATTCTTTCCTCCCATCTGAAATCGCTTTCTTTTTCTCTATAAATAATGCTTGCTTTCTCTCAATCCAATGATCAAAGCTGAATCACGAAATATCGTAAGAGAAGAAGATTTCATCTTTTACTTGAAAAGCTTCTTGAAGAAAGAAAAGCAAGCGAGCCAAGGTGCTTAGCCAAGAGTGGACACTGGGGTATGATGCGTCATTTGCCCGTCCCGCGAAGCCGGTAAACGTATGCCAATTTCCCTATAAATAGTAGACGTTTGTCATTCTGCGTCATGTACTTATCCCTAATCCGATTGTTGATCAATTCCGCATTACCAAAATGGATTAGATGCTTGACACCCATGCTAGCCATGGATTCGATCCAGCTTATTAAGGATAGGTTAGCCCCTTCTCCTTCAGGGGATGCAGCAAGACTACGTTCTCATCGGAGTTCCACTTCTTCCTCAATCCACTCTAAGAAAAAGGCAAGTACAGCTACTCTACTTTAGAGTCGATCCAGCTTTCGCTTCCTTACTTCCCTCGTCCAGTAAGAGCAATTGCTTTATCGCATTTTTCTACTATGCCTTGAGCCTGAAACTCTTCCTTCTAGTCTACCTACGTCATTCTTTTGAAGTGAAGCAGAAAGCAGATGTTCACAAGTTCACTAAAACAGCAGTTAGGCCCTTTCCATATGTCCCTACTAAAGCACTCGAGGAAGAAGAAGCAGACGAGTACGGTTCAGGAGGTTATGCCGCATCTCCATCTCTAGGAGAAGCAGCTAGATCGATTCCTAAACCGCTAATGCCCCCTCTTCCAACTGAAACTCATTCAACAGGAGAAATTGCAGCTTCTTCTATTCCCTTCCTACCCGGTATGAGCTCCTAACTCGTTGACTTGAGGATGTCACTGGGGATCCTCCCTTTCTTTCGCCTGCTCTTCTCACTTTGCTTGGATTGCACCTTTCGCTGAGCCGGTTGTGAGATCGATCCCTTCGACTAGGAATTCCTACAATAACGTATATTAAAAGATCGCCTTGCGCTTGGTATTCGTATTCATTGTAAAGCCTTGAGCTAGCCCCTTCGGATGGAATAGATGGACAAGAGTCATTGGATGAATCACTATCTGAATCAGAAGAACTTTCTGAGCTAAATCCTTTCAATCCTATCCTGGCTCTAGTAACACGATTGGGTTGGGGAATTCTCATATTCCGAAAGTTCACGATGGTAGAGATTTTTCAAATCCTACTCTACTAGCCCTAATCTTAGTCTTAGTAGTAGGATAAGCGGCATCACTATATCGTCTTGAGATTTTCCCATGATGCATCCTAGGAGAGAATGATGTTTGCGCGCTGGTTTCCGCCATTCTCTTCACGTAGAGCTTATTTATATAGACTGAGGGCATTCTCGCAGCTACTTCTTGCAAACAGCCTTTTGTCCTAACTGCGCATTTGAAGCTTCTTCTATCAAAGAGCTTGGGCATCTTTCGATGAGTAGGTCCGGAAAGAGACTTAAGGCATACCTATGTGGTTAACATTTCCCTGAGGCGCCTAGCCTTTATGGGCAAGTAATCCATCCCGCCATTCCTTGGCTAAATAAATAGCACTTCGGTGTGAATAAGAATCAGAGCAATCTCTAGTTTCGAATCGAGTCTTGGCATCAATCCCAGTCCCTTAGTTCAAGCCTTCAAGCTCAATCCCAAAAGCTCTAGTCCCAGAAAAATACTGAAAAGAAGTAGCTCGTGGAACTGAGTTCCGCTAACCGCTTCTTGCTAACAAAGCTGTCCAATTCAATGAATGTGCTTGCGGCCTCTTCTCTGCTCGATGCCTATTCTGTTCCTTCTAAGGGCTAGGACTTCGATTGGTGTCAATAAAGGGTGAAAAATCACCTTCCAAAAAGTGGCCCCCTATTGAATTCATAGTCAGCAGCATTTAGCTGAGGACTTAGCCCGGGTCTGGGAACCCTTTGAAGATGACGAGCCGCTTCGGCAGCTGCTATTACACTTTCGTAGGGGAGGAGTCTTAATCCTATTCAGGATCTTCAAAGCTCTTTCTCTATGCAAAAAGGAAATGAAAAGATTCTTTAACCTTTCTTCTATCACTTAAGAAAGAGAGAACATTCTGAAGGTTATTCCAATACGGCTTACTATGAGGAAGAGTAGGACAATAACAATACATACGGAGAACTCCATGTACTAGTGAACGAACAGGAACTCAAACTAAACGAACAAGCGATGCAGGTGACTCAGTTCCTCGAAAGAGGGATGGTCCATTTGCCTGCCATGTTTACATGCCGCCCTGCAATGGTTTTACGGTTTGACCCTGCCAGGTACCCTTTACTTCACTTTACTGAGAACTGCATCTCCTTCTTTTCACTATATATGATTGAATGAATCCGCTCTAGAAACATATCAATGTACCACTCCTTCAGTCAATCTATTTGTACACCAACCTTCTCTGTATTCTATCTCTGTATTACACCGAGAATAAGGGTTTTTTCTCTATGTATTGAAAACCTTCCTTTCGCGGATAAAAGGATTTGCACTTTAGATGGAGAAATGCCTGCGAAGGGATGCGATCGAAGGGCCGGGTCTACGTTTTTTGAGCGCAGGAGTGAAGTGAGTAGTCCATGAATACGGCCTTGCCCGAGATAGAGCGATTGCATAGATCTTCCACATCCACCACGATGTTCGAATCCATTGATCCATGAATGAAGATGTTGGCAGGAAGGCATCTGTGTTTATCTTGCTCTGTCTGATTTGGGTCTTGGTTTCCCTCGGATTCGCCATATTCATTGTCTTCCTGTACATCTGTCACACCTAATCCGTAGACTTGCTCCTCGGTTTACGCCGTAAATCATGCGTGTTCTTACAGGCTAAGAGTCTGTTAAGTCAATCTGTCTTTTCTACTGCCTGCAATGTGATAGACATATGGCATTGGTACAAAGTGCTTTGAAAAGGCCATCTGATTGATTCTCTGAGTGAATGTCTCTATCTCTGCTGCTGGTTCCCGATTATGCACCACTCGAAGTGTGAGCTGAAGAAGCGTGGGCGGAGGCAGCTTTCCATAACTAGACATGGAAGAAGAGCTGTTAGAGAATCGCCTTACCTTTTTCCTTTTCTTGTTAATGTAGACGCTCTTTGAAAGAAGAAAGATTCTTTGTTGGAGATCACGATTATATTATTATATAAGGAGTTTTTCCATAACCCGAAGTCAGCTTAAAAAACGAGTCTTACCACCTGCCCTAGTATCTTACCATCTCTGAGGGTGCAAACTATCAGTTAGAAGGGCGGAAAAGGCCATGTCATTCTTTTCGGAATTGGAATAGAGGAAAGGACAGGAATACGTAGATGAACTATTTCCAATAAGGAATAAGCTAACTCCCGTTCAAAGACAATCAATCCGCACACTCATTCTCTTCCGGTATCAGTTCCAAGATCAGATCAGGGACCGGGGTAAATAACATTTTAGGCTTCTTCTTTAATAGCGGCACATAGAATAGGTCTAAGAAGCGTCTCATTTCCATCAATCACTGGTAAAATCCACGTACTCCGCCAACTACTCCTTCAGTGAATGGATCAATACCGGTGTAGAAGAGAGGATTGAAGCGGAAAGGCAATATGAGCATAGAAAGCATTAGACCATGGATGAATCCTTTGTCTTGGTACTGAAAGCAGTAGCTTCCTTGGGGGGAGATTGATTGAATGAAAGTGATCGATAGCTAGAGGTATCACTTTAATTTAGAGAGAAAAGCCGATGGAAAAAGAGTTCAAACTCAGAATCAGATGGCAAGTAGGAATTCTTTGAATACCCAAAACTGTAATTCTACAGCTTCTCCTTCTTTTTAAACTGAGAAAAACGCGAAGTCCCCCTTTCAGTTCAAGCCAGGCAGAAGAAAATCTAGCTGCTTTGGAGGATTCCTGTAATATGCCTCTATAATCACCTTACAATATAGTCAATGTAAATAGACTTTTTTATTCCCTAATCTTTCTCCTGGTAGATTCATTCGTATCAGTAGTGCCTGGCTAGGAGTAGTTATTATCCCCAGTATCCGTATAAGGGTCGATATAATTGAGCTTTATCGAACCGGGTTTTTCTGCTTTCTGCCTTCGATCCCGTGGAAGTTCCCAGCTATGCAATTGAATAAGAAAGTGGAGCATATCAAAAGTCCTAAGCCGATGTAGTTGCATCTCAACTTCGTCGAGCCTTATCTTGCTTTCCATGTCGTATCGGGCAAGGCAAAAGGGGGCCAAACGAGGGCTCCCTAGCAGGATTCTATACAAGGGAGGGCTAACGATGCTAGGAAAGCCGGCAGAGGAAAGGGCTACTATGAAAAGGTTATCTTACTCTTATTCTTATAGTTCCATTCTTTTTATGACTGAACTTCGTTCGATTACATTGACCTTCTTTCTTGAAAAAACGGTCGTCACAAGGCGGTCCCTTGCAGCCCTTGGGGCTAGTGGAATATCAGCAGTTCCAGCATAATCCTAATCAGACTCTTGCTCGTACCTAATCACTGCTGAAACCCTCGGTGAAACTGGCTTAAGCCCGACTACAGAGCCTATCTATATAGGGACGCCCAACCTGTGAACCAAAGCGCATTCTAACTCCCTTTGGTACAAAAGAAAGTCTGCTCTCAAATCAAAAAATCGTCGGATGCCAGGTTGTGAATTGGAAACTCTCCGTTCCTTCTTTTCTTGACTCGCCTTCAGTCTTGATGGCTGCAAGCGAAATGGCAGCTGGCTATGTGACTAGAAAGTCAGAGAGGCAGGGGAAAGCTTTGAAAGAGCCTCCCCCTCGGGTCCCTCGCTTCCTCGAGAGTTGGGTCTTCTGCCACACCGCATCTCCTGAGCTTTTGATGTCAGCAAGTTCCCGCTCCTAAATCGAGCTACCTTCTTGACCCTTAATCCTTTGTCTATGACTGAAAAAAGCTTCTAAAGATTACATTGACCTGTGTAAACGAACTTCTTGCTCTTGTTTGGCGCTTCTATTTCTATATTACATCTTCTTCTTACTGACCGACTAGCTGACAGGAAGCGAACTAATTCCGCGAGAACGATAGCCTTTTCCTCGGATTTATAGTCGAGGTCAATTATACCTTTCCGAAGGAACTCTTTGACTTCACTGAACAAGCAACGGATTGAGCAACTAGCGCGAAAGCCGTTGCGCTAACGCGCATCCGTTTTCTTGCTGCTTCGCTTCGTTTTTAGAGTCTCACTTTGCTCTCCTTTAGCTACCTTTGATATTCCTCCACGCGGGCCTAAAATCTCTATTAGAACTGCTCTCAAAGCAACCATTGCGGGCGCTGCACCGTGGACATAGGGCCTTATGGGCTTCCGCCTACCCTATAATCTAAACTGGGTCATGGCTTCTGCGACGAGCTTGGACAAAGCTTTTGCCTAGGGTTCCCACCTTCTGAACCTTGACGTCGAGCTAAGCTAATGTAATACCCAGGGTTTTTTCGAAGAACAGACTATAACTACTATAGAGGAGCAAACGGCGGTTAAAAATCTTTTTCCGGGGGGCCCGGCCTATTGAGGATCTTCTTTCGTAGTAATCGTAGTAAGCAGGTTCAGAAAGTGCTGACCAACCAGCCCCAGTAGGGGGTTTTCATGGATATAGTTGCATCTCGTGACGGGAATTAGCCTACAACATTTATGAAATCGTAAACGCGAAGAAGGTTTGAAGAGCTTAGTACATACTTGTGCTAAGGAAGAAAAGCCTATCTTTGGATTTGACTCCTCACGCAGGCAGACTCTGTTCATGGACGTGGATTTCTAGTTCTGGTTTGTCGGAAAACGAGGGCCGGGATTTGCCCTTTAGTAGTGGATTCGGGATATCAGATGTTTTGGCCGCTGCGGCAAGAGTTCAACGATAAGTATCGTGGGCTTGAGGAATTTGGACTCAGAGTCTTGTCAGAAGTTTTGGCGAAAAATCGAAAGTGGAGGTACTTCTTAGGAGCTCTATTTGTAGAAAGTTCCGATAGAAAGTATCAAAGAAAGAAGGGGCGTGGGAAGGAAGAGTGTAGATTTCTCCTATGGGTGTGAAACCAGTTTATGATCCAAGGGATCGTGCGGGAAGAAGCTTATCTTTATCCTATGTCTTATGTTATGATATTTCATATTTCTCCAGAGCGCTATAAGGGCCCAGTTCTGTTCTCCTTTGGTCGAGAAAACCCGTTCTCTGGTAATCAATATAGGAGTTGTTTTCTGGGGTCTAGCAGCTATTCTATTGGGGTTCGTGCGTCTACTAGGACTGGAGTCGGGCTTCATCCAGTACCGGTGCCTGTGCAGACCAGAAGGAAGGGCAAATCGACTCGTACCTCGGGTACCGAGGGTCGTCAACAGAAGATAGAAAACTTGCGTAAGTAAATACATATCTATTAGGTCGAAATCCTACTCACTCCTATTAGCGCTTTACTCCAGTGTCCACAGACCCAACATTTTGAGATATTTACGCGCCAGGGAAAAAGAGATAAATCGAGAGCCTTTACTCAGATCTGATAGAACCGATGAGGAGCTTAGTCCTTCCCGATTTAGTCTTTACTCATCAGGTGACGGATTTACAATGAATACCGACTCTGCTTTGGAACTTACTCTTGATAGGTCGAGACATTACCATAAACAATACCTCTTATTCCATAGTTAAATGCACTTTAGCTGATCTGCCTCACATGGAGAGATTGCCACTCCTATTAGCATTAGCGACAGTGGACGCGGAGACAGGAAGAGAAAGATACGTGCGCCAATCCCAATCCAAATATTTCTTATGAGATATATATTCGACTTTTTAGCAACGCTTTCCTACTTTACTATCGACATTACTAAGCTACTTGTCCTTCTTTGACTAGAAGCTATTTCACTCTTGAGAACCCAGATACATATAGCCGCGTTGGGAGAGGACTCGCATGAGCCGGTTGCTTGCAAGCTCGAGAGCAGAGGCTGTGACCGATGAGACCAACTTCTTTTGATATTTACTTACGCGCGTGAGAGGACTAAGACAACGAAAGGAGGGAGACAATATCCGAGATCGATCTCACATACATAGATAGAAAACGCACTTGGCTCTTTCTTACGCCGATAGAGAATAGGGATCGAAAAGGTGAACTCCTTCGCGATTATTCCTATCAGCGATTGGGAATTGATACGGACTTTTTAAGTAATCTACCCAGATCGATAACAGGAACAACTACCCAACTACACTATCTGATTTGCTATGTAGTCCAAGAGTTAGAGTTAAAGAGTTCGAAATAATACGAGCCAATGCCCAACTCCATAGCCCATAGCTCTTATTTATGTAGTGGACTTGACTCTTGAGAGCTCTTCAGGAGAAACGAAACAACTACACCACTCCTATTCACTTCGTTATAGAGTTCAACTTAACACTCCTCTTTAGCTACTAGAGTTATTCTTCTTATTCCAAATTGGGACTCCTGAACGAAAGATATTCCGAGTATTTCACCAACTATTGACTCCCTCCTAGCCCAATTAGAATTCGAATTTCACTCCTATTTAGATAGGACTTGCCCTACTCTTTGACCAACCTTTTCGAGCGTTTATCGGTTGATAAATGCCATAGTAAAAGGAAAAGCTAAAAGCCAAGATCTCGATGCGGTTCGTTCGTTTCTATCCTCACCTTTTAGACTTCGCTTCCCTTCGTTTGTTCACTTCGCTTCCCTTATATGACTTATACTTCCTTCTTTCCTGAGACTGCTGGTTCTGTTTTTTATCTTAGCTTCCTTGTTTCTACCCTTATCTCTGTACTCTACCCTCTCTTATCTCTCTTCCCTTTCTCATGCATTTACTCGGACATGATCCAAGAGAACGAGAGAGAGGTGTTAGCTAACACTCTACCCGAGGGGTATTTGCCCAGGTAAGCGCATGTCATGTTCCTCTTGGTCTTCGCATTCTTCGCTAAGAGTTACGCGGATAGGCTGCACCGTTCCCCGATCCTTTTACCGATGCTTCAAGGAATGCTCGCATCCAAGCAAGTGAAACATTCCGATGATCCCCTCCGCAGCTACGAGCAAGATACAAAGGATTGCGCTACACGCGAAACACAGACCCAATCTTGCCCTTTTACTTGAACGCTCAAAAAGAGGGCGTTTTCTCAAAACAAAGAGGGAATTTGAATCGTCATTTGAATGAAGGAAGGATCTGGGGCAGAAGGACTCGAGCCCACGAACACTTTCCGATGCTGGCTAGGATCCAGCTCAGGTAGCATGTTGCAACCCAACTATCATGTGTATGGCTAGCGTGCGTTTTTAGCCTTTCTTTCTTCTCCTGGCAGGAGATCTGTGGAATCCTCGCTTCTTCCCCTTCTTTGAATTAGACCGGAAATGAAATAAGGGAATTCTTATTAGATTACCTAAGAGATTTGACCCGGGGAAGACCCTTCTTTCTTGTTCTTGTATCAGGGCAGGCTTTCCGACTTGTCAAACCAGTCCTTTTTGGCGATCTCAGAAAGAGACCCCAATATTGATTACCCCGAGTTCCCTCGCGTATGATTTGATCTAACTCAGATGAAAGGGAAGATCAACTGCAAGGGCTTCTCGAAGAACCATCCTAACTCTCATTTCTACTTATACTATGCAATACTTTGACCATGTTAACCGCCCAGATGTCTAAGACCAGGTCTCAACGAGCCTCGCTTGAGACTCCCAAAACCTTTCCCATCTTTCTTTCTCGACCCGAGCCCTTACCGACTTGAGGGATTAGCTCGCCAATACCCGCTTGCTTGCCTGCTCGCGTCTCACCCCTGGACGGACCACTAATCCACGGTATCGACTCCCGAGGTACGAGCCCAGCCTTGCCATACAAACCAAAGCTGGAAATCTTTCAAAACCAGAGAAGGAGAGATAGAAGACCCCTTGACTTTTCCTCCGAACCCGAAACCCATCCCAATTCTTTATTACTTTATTACAGGAACCAAAGCAAGAGCTCTTGCCAGTTTACGACCAAAGGAGCTAACCTATTGACTGTTCCAATACCCTATTTCGATGTTCTGAACCAGATGTCGAAGATCCAGATACAAGAGAAGATGCACTCGCCTGACAGGCTGAGAATCCCAAGCTTGAGAATGGATGGGGAATACCAACTCCAAAGCAAAGAAATAAAAGGGAAAAGGGTGCTAGAAAAACCCCAACTCAAAACCTTATTGACCTTCTTTCCCAACTCTTGAGGTAAGATCCTATCCTATAGAATGGCTCCTGGATTGCCTTCCTGATCCAAGACCTCAGACTCAATACCCGCTCTTACTTTACGAGATTGTAGATGATTTGATTTACGAGAAGGAAGATTCACGCCTCTGACTTCCCCTGTCTTCCGAGGACCCTGCCCTGGACGACTAATCAAAAGGGTGCACTCGCAAAACCAGCTCCTCTTATGGTATTTTATGATTCCCAACTTGAAATTGAAAGACCGATGAAAGAACAGAGACAAACAAAGCCTGATTCCCCTGAACTACTAGGACTTTTACCGGTAACGGGAAGACGGATTCGAAAGCACTGAAACGGAACTCTTAAACGGGAATCCCTTTACAAAGGACAGACTTGCCACCTTCCCTTGAGTTAATGAGTGAATTGGAAGCTATGGAAGACAAACAAGGAGAACCAAGGGAAGAACAAGAACAGATGGCCTGCCTGTATACCATAAGGTATAAGTCTCGGACCCCAGGGAGCTAGTTCCTTTTAGTGACAGCTTGACCATATTGATATTCACGAATGCGATCCTTTGCCTTTGGAACAGGATTCCGAATCCTGGTATAGCTAGCTACTCCCAAAGCAATCCCAGCATATTATATATTCTGCTTTCAACTCCTTAGCTTATTTGTACCCGCTTGACCGAAGGCTCTTGCCTTGCTGCCTTGTTCACGAAAACTGGCTTATGAGCCATTTCCCGCCTTCTTCTGATCCCTGACCTCTCTACCCCTCCTTGCTGGCCTGGCTGCCTTGCCTTCTACTTGCCAACCCTAATCCTGTTATCCAAAACCAGATCAGGAAAGAAATATCAGATCGACGGTAAGACCTGTTCGTTCCTCTGCTGTCTTGTTCTGACCCGAGGTATCTAACCAGAACAACAGGAGGCTGCCTTCCTTGCCCCACTCCACTACTCCTCAGCTCGTCTTTCTTAACCATATTTCTATTTCCCGATTGGAGGCTTAGCTGGGTAAGAACTGATCCCCTGCCTGCTCGCATCTGGGGCAAGGACTACTTTTCCAAAGGGCCGAAAGAAAGGGAAGAACTACAGAACAGAGGGACAACTCCTGCCATATTGTACTATGCAAGACTTTGCCCATCTTTCCCGACCAGCATATTCATCTTCCCACCAGACTTGGAATCCTTTCTCCAAAGCCTGAATCCGAACAACGAGGACTGGGCAATTCTCAAGAGAGAGGACTGGCCAGACTGGTAAGACCAACCCCTTTCCCTCGAATCAGACATCAAAAGAAGATGGTCGAGCTTTTGGATTAGGATCGATGTAATTGAGATAGGCAGCTGGGATAAAGCTTTTCCTCTGCAGGGGCCTTGTGGTTGACTGCGTGCGCTCCTGCTTTAAGAAGAAAGGGCTTTCCTTCCCAACGAACGAAGCGAAGTTCAGTCATAAAAGCGAGCAGTAAGCGGGGAATATTCAAGGAAAGAAAGGAAGAAAGGGCAGCAGGGCTCGCTCTACCCGACCCGATCTTACTTTTGTTGTTTCCTGACTGACAGTCATTCTCCGCAGCGACCATTTCCTTCGTTGGTAGAATAGAATGTAAGTCTTCAATAAATCCCGATTGGTGTGAAGCAAGCAGGAATAGATAGCCTACCTAGGTTCACTACCATTGAGAAAGTGAGAAAGAGAAAAGCAATGGACATAGGTTCGGAAAGCTTGTTCAGACCCAGGTAGCGAACATAGACCAGAAGAGCTTGACGGGCATGGATGACCAGCCACCACCGATACTGGTTGTGCACACCAGTGGGAACCTGCTGTTTGGATTGAGACAAGAAAGGTCAATGTAATCGAACCTCGGAGATAAGGGTTTACAGGTCTACCCCGACCAAGCCATAGCTCGAAGGGCATAAAATGGTCCACATTGTTAGACCCGCGAAGTGAGCGGCAATGGAAAAGTTTAGGCCGGATCAAGAGCTGCCATATTCAGATACACCGGTACAAGGTTTGAAGATACTCGACCATACAAACTTTTCGAAGCGAAGTGAAGGAAAAGAGTGAAAAAGGAAGGGAGATCAATTTTTCCATTTTCTTTTTTTCTTTCTTTCATTCGCGAAGAGCATACTAAAATAAAGGCGTTTGCCGATCCTCTATATTCGTAGGAAGACATCAAGAGTTGTTCTCCAAACTACTCCTCGGTCTTGCGGAGGCTCTGACAAGATAGGGGGATTCAGAGCCATAAGGCAAAAGAATGATCAAGGTCTCTCTCACCTGGAAATATCATCCAATGAACTAACGTTAGGCTTTGATGAAGACACAACCAAGGCTTGACTCTTATTGGGCTCTTTCACATTTGAATTTGTTCTATCAAGTCATGATTTTCTTGTAGGAGTTTACTGAAAGATGAAATATCCCCGCAAAAGGTTTAGAGCCTTAGCTAGTATCGGCTCACCGTGAAACTACTTTAGACTACCTCTTCTTAATAAATCTCATTCTAAATTGTGAATGAACTTCCATTTATAATGTAGATTCCATCTCTCGCTGCTATATCTTGTATAAAAGCACCTTCAGCTAGGGAAATCAAAGCCCAATCAGCGGGCTCACCAGCACACCTCCAATCCCAGACCCATCACTGTCACGCACAATCCCTCCGGCAGAAGCCAGACCTTAATCTTTCACCGCCCCATCCGAGTTAAGCATCATAGTTCCCACATCAGGGGGCTGCCAGCGTACCCACTTCGGCTGACGAACCACCGTCTTGGCGCGACTTGACCAAGCGGCAGCAATGTCACGATGAAGAGAAATAGAATAATGGAGGACCTGTCTATGCGTACTAAAAACCCGTTCAATACCGCGCCGACAACGAGCCTTCCATAACCCCTATAGAAGAGAGACAAAACAAAGTCCCCCAAGTACCCCCTCCAGCAAGAGGTTTAGTATCTAAACAATTAGCACGAATCCAATCTTTCCAAGACGATGAAAAGAAAGCCGAGGAAAGACGAAGTGAAGGGACCTTACGCCACACAAATAACGCAAAAGGAAGGACAATGCCGAAACACATGATCAATAGTTTCCACCATATCCCCACACCAGCTACAATTAGGCTCGATGTAATTGACCTTTCCCGCAAGGCATTTGTATTAATCTTACCAAATGCCTATTTCGTTGTGCCCTAAACCCCTATTTAGCTAAGACCTTCTTGTCAGGCGGACGAACGGTAACGGTAAAAAAGCTGTCACACAATGCGGAGAGTGATGCTGCTTTCGAAGTTCAGTGATGTTTCGCATTGCGCGTAGCGTAGAAGGGGGAAAGAAAGCCAATAGGCGAACTGAACTGGACGAATACCACATAAAGCGCACAAGCTGAAGCCTTAGTCGACTTTCTCGCTTAATGAACAAACATACCTACGTTCTCTACATAGCATTCTCCTTTATCTACGAGATGCTTCCCGTCGCCTTAACAAGCACGGCCGACGAACAGACACAAAACCCATCCATTCATAAAGGCAATGTTCTCAGAGAAAGAACATGATCTAAGGAGAGCGAAGTGAACAAACTTTTCGAAGCGAAGTCACTCAACCGGAAGGTGTGTATCTCGAACGGCTTCGAGAAATCAGGCAATGCGATTTCGGATGCTTGTATAGGTGATACCCTTACCAAGGAAGAAGGTAAAGGCAGCAGCTCGGGACGCTTCTTTCGTGCTTGCTTGCCTTCTGAATTCTCGAGTCATCATTGATAGAGTGGTGGTACTCAGCTTCTTTTATTAGGGGAGAGTTTAGTTACGAGCAAGAAAGGTCAGGAGGGGGTAGCTCGAGTCAGTTGGAATGCTACGCCCTCTACAGTTCTTTCATCAGCAAAGGATAGAGTCCTTACTCCATTACTCATGGGATTCGTAATGGTCGGACGTCTCCCAGGGCCAGCCTTAACCCGGATCGCTTACTCCTTCCTCCATCCTAAAAGGCTGGAGTTCAGTCGCTTCGCTCTTCTTACTCCCAATCGAGCTATTAAACCAGAAGACAGACGAAAAGGAAGTTCCTTCCCTTGAGCAGCTCTTTAGAAGCTACCATAGGTCAGATCCTAAGAGGAAAGATTAGCTCCGATAAAAGCCGGAAAAAAGGTCTCAAATTAAAGGCCTTATATCGCATCTTTCACTAGTGCCCTGAGTGTTTATACCTCAGAATCAAAGGAGGTTCGATATAATTGACCTACTTTCCTTTCCTGTGTTTTGATCTACCCTCGGATCCAATAAAAGAGGCAAAAATATAATGACGTATAATGGTAGTCGAGATCACCTTCAGGCGATTCATCGAATTGGGGAAGTGAAATAACAAACCCATGCACTGAAGGCTACGAGACTACATATGCTCAAGTCGATTTAGTAGCGCTTTACCAGTTTGTTTGTTCAAATTGCTAGTCCGAATCAAGGGACAAAGTCCAAACTCACGATTTGCCGGAAGCTGTTCGAGCAAGCTCCAACCTGTGACTCGACGCGAAAAAGAAAGAATGGGCGCACTCTGCCCCCCAGCAAAGGACTTCGTTGGTTGACTTTGACCCGTCAGATTCGAACTGACATAGGCAAAAAGGACCAAGACCTATCTAAAAAGAAAAGGAATCGCTTTGGTAACACAGTTCGGTTAGCGGGCGGGCCGCATTCCTACATCTGCGAGTGGGTAAGTAAAGTCAGTGTGCTATTTCCTACTCACCTAGATCTACCCTCATATTTGAGCATATTTCGTAAAAGCCGTGTATAGGTCAATTACACCTTCACTCTCCCCGCCAATACTTCTGACTGAACTTCGCTTCGCTTCTAAAGTTGGGCGAAGAGTTGAAGAAGCTGCTTACTCGGATTCATGCCCAGACTCGGATGCATAAAGCCGATGGGATGGTGTCTCTAATACGACTGCCTACGGGCTTACGGCAAGAGCTAGCAATGACTTTCTTCGCTTTCCTCTGCCGCTAGCTACACTTCCTAACACATGGAAAAACATCTCGTAATGTATCCGAAGTCGCCATAGAATTCGTTGCTACGCGATGTAGAAAGATCAAAGGGACGCCTCTCTTCTTTATTCCTTTTTTAGGACTGATTTCCCGTCTCTCTTAATTAGGCTTAGGAGGCCGGGTCTTGATATCGCCTTTCGCTCCCCACTACGCGGTGACTTCACTTCGCTTCGCTTCGTTCTACCACTGAGCTTCGTTTGTTCACTTCGCTTCCCTTCGTTCTACCACTTTGCTCGACTCATCAATCAGTCTTTCCATCTATCTATCTCTTTTTTACTTAATTTCCACTTCTTGCTGCTTTTGGTAAAGACTATCTCTCTAAGTTAGCTTTATTCAATTTCCTATCTATCGGCACCCCCGAGGTTGACTACTTCAAAGTCAGAGTCTGGACTTTACCACTGATAGAGGAATAGGATGCTCGACTGAGTTGGAAGAGTCACTTTTTGACCCCCGCACCAAGAGAAGGAATGAAAGTAACTGGACTAGAAATGGTCTGAGTTCACTATGTCAACGACCGGTACGAAGAGTTGCTATTGGTTGATAATATTTCTATGCTCGGTCTGAGGAAAGTAAATAAGCCATTTCTATTAAATGTATTACTATTTACCTTACTTGGTAAGCTCATTGAATGGAAAAAGTTTACATCCTAGGGAAAAAAGGCTAACACGCCACCTTCAGAGGAGAGCCTGGGCTCCCAGTTTCGATTGCTCCCTCCTATAAAAAAGGCAATTATGCCCGGGAGGCAGGACCCGGAAATTTTCTTTTGATTGCTGGGGCATTTAATTAACTGAAGTGAACAATCAGGGAATAGCAAAGTCCATAGGTGAGATGAAGAAGAAAATGGAATGTGAATGCCGAGGGGAAGAGGGCTAATGAAAGAGTACTAGTGCCTCTCATAAAAAGGCAAGAGCTGATCTTGAGATGCAAAGAGCTACCTGAAGGCACCCTGCTTCCCGAATGCCTTGACTTACTCAAAATTCTGGTCTGCCCAGAGGAAGGCGTGGAGAGTCTCTCACACACAAATGAGTCTTTCGAATCACCTAAGACAAAGATGGAAATCTCGTTCCAGCTTTTAGCCTGTATACCTTTGATCCTTTCTTTGGCTCTTGTTGGGGATCTTCTTCTATGAATATTCTAATTCAACCATAGCATCTCAGAGCTCATACACCTTGATCAGCGATCTCCTCTTGCCTTGACGGCTGATGATTCTCTCACTCGTTGAGTTCGCCATTCCGACGATAGAAAGGTGGTTCAGTCGGGTGGTCGATCAACGGCTACATCGGGGGAAGAGAAAGAAAGAGTTCCTCCCTAGCTGGAAGTGATTGCGAGATAGTGATCTCTGTTGTGGTGGTGAATCTCCAGCAGTGCCGGCAAGATCATCCATTGCTTACGTCGACCCGGAGAAGAGCAGGCTTTAAGTTCGAGTCTTGCTCCTATCGCCTCATCAGGGTTAAAAAACTTTATAAGGAAAAACGGGAAAAGTAGCGGTAGGCGACAAGGAAAAAGTCGATGTTGAACAACCACCAAGATGGGTACAGGACCGAGAATGAATGAATGGAAGCACTGCTCAGAGAAGAAATAAGATGAACGAACCATCTCGAGCACAGGTCTCGGTTAGGCATGTTGGTGCCGTACCCTATCACATTCAAGGATTGGGAGGCATGCTTATGATTATGATTCATGACATAAAGGATTGGGCCGGTAAGGCATGATTCATTTATTGATTGGGAGGATTTCTTCTAGGATTGCTCGGGCTCTGCTAGGGATTGTTCATCCCCACCTACGTGCCTTCTGACGTTTTCCCAGATGTACTATTCTTTGGGTGAAATGGATGGATAACCCAACCGGGAATGACTAATAAACATCAAATCCGGCTTAGATACTTTTAGGACGGAGACTTCGAGGCCAATAAGAAGAGCCTCATATTCTATTCAGAAAGATTCTCGGTGCATAAAGTTAAAGACTAGACCTCGCCTATTGCTCTAATAGTAAGCACAGGAAGAAGCTGGCTGAGTCGAAAGACGAAGGAAGTAGTTCAAGCTGGGTAACGAACAAGGGGGCCTAGGCCGTGAAGGTAAAGTAGGGCAAGGCACGGAGTCCTTCCGGGATGCTACATTTATAGAAGAAACTAATTGCCTTTCAATTATCAATCTTAATAAAGAGGAGTAAAGTAAGCAATCGGCTACAGGTCATTAGATGTGGAAGTTCCAGGGTGATAAGAAGCTGAGGTTGCAGAAGTTATGGAATGGCCACTTTTTTTCGCTTGAAAAGATTTTGGAACTGATCATGGTTTAGCCAAGCAGCTTGATAGCGAAAGGGTCTATCTGACGGCAATTAGAAATGTAATCAGCAGAGTCAATGAGAATCGGACTATGATCCGAATGTGTTCTAGGCGGAACCACAAGACGAGCTTCAGGGAATGTCGAGTTTCCACTCGGCATTCGAAACTACCCTATCCAGCCTCTCTCGTTTGATGTTTAAGCCATGACCAGACGGGCTACTTATAACAAAAGCTAATTGCCAATACCGCTCCTCAATTACACCTCAACTTTAGAAGCGAAGTGAAGTCCCTGGAGAGGGAAGAAGAAATGGCTAACTCAACCGAAGAGAAAGCAACCGGCGCATCCACCGAAGCCGGAGAAGGATCTGTCATAGCCAACTCCTTTCTCAATTACATCGAACCTCGCTGAACTAGCTTTAGACTAGGCAAAAGAGTACGCAACTGAGGATGAACAAAAGCGAGTTTCTATCACAGCCCGAATAGTTAACTGGCGAAAACAAGAGAGAGCGTTGACTTTATAAATTACCCTACTGGGGATCCAAACGGAAATGCAAGGCTTATCCGTACATGATTGATTATGGCGTTCATCCCCTAATAATTGGATTTAGCCTAGCCCATCAACTGATCCGGCAGGTCTTTTCCTTTCGACTCCGTCTATGACTGAACTGCGCTTCGAAAAGTTCGTTGGGTCGACAAAGTTGAGATGTAGTCGGGTGGTCCGTTCTATCAGTATAAGATGGAACCGAATCGAGCCTACGGGGAAGTTGCTCCTTAGAATGCCAAAAAAAATGAGAAGGAAGCAAGGATTGACAGCGAGGTATTACCCTATGAATGAGCTACCCGGTTTCGCTTTCTGAGATACAGAGTTTCCCTTCGACGAGGAATCCTTTGGCTGACACCTTTCAATGGAATTCGTTTCCACCGCTTTACTTGCGCTCGCTACCGAAAAAACAATTGTTTTACACAACGCTACCAGGCTTGGCTTACGTTCCCCATCTGGGGAATGGGTTACGATAGGGTCGATGTAATTGAGCTTGCTAAACCCGAACTCACTTCTAGGGCTAGGGATGAGAGTAGTTACGAAAAGACTCATACCTTAACCGCTGTCCCTGAAGGATATGTTTGCCAGTTTTTTTCAAAAGAGAATCCCGCTATGCCCCTCCGCAACTGGTTTATGAAAGATCTTGGCTACATAGCCAGACCACCAGTTGTCAAAGTATGAGGTTGTTATGGTAGAAGATAAGTCTTGAAAGCCACAAATGTGAAGGAGTCCAGTTCCACTCCACAGGTCTTGTTTTGAATGGCCCACAGAGTCAAGTACAATGGATATTCCGGGATGTCCCCAGAGGGGGAGGATAGATGTAATTTAGAAGAAAGCGGGACAAAAGTGGCGCTCCCTAACCTAAAGGGAGTGATGGTTTCAATTGTCTCTTTTTCGAAAGACTCCTGGAAGAAGCAAGAGAGCCTACGACCATCTCCATAACAAGACAAAGTCTCCTTGGAGCCAGAGCCCGAAGTCACTTTCAGTTCATTGGATCCAAACTGAGGAAAGTCAGCATGGATCCATAACTGTAGGATCCAAAGAGGACCATGACCAGAAATGGGGGACGGAGATTTGAGAAGTCAATGTTGTATTATCCCCTAAAGGATGCCTTGATTTGGGAGGCAAGAGGAAAGGAACTTTCTGAAACCTCCCTACATAGCCGATTGAATGGTTGGCGTAATACCCGCTACTCTATGCTTCTATAGAATACATCAAAGAGCTAAGATTTTGATTACGAAGTAATCCGGATCGCTCTCGGGTTGGTACGAAGGAGATGATAATAGCTTCGAAGTTTTGCGTTAGCAGCGAAGAGGCTGCGTAGCTACATTGTAGGTAAGGGGATAGTACCGAGTAACCTATTGATTCACGTCGACCACACGTCCTAGCATAGCCTGTCCCGCAGGAACATCCACAATAGATCCAGTGCGCCAATAAAACATCCCAACTTCATCCAAGCTATCACACTAACATCTTTTTTGAATCTTTTCCCCAGTGTGAATTAAATTGCTTTAGGAATTGATCGGGTCATGTAGGAACAAGGTCCAAGAATGAAGAAGGGGTAGAATTACTGAATGAATACAAGCTTGGTGTATTCAATGTCCAACCCCTATTACGAATGGATCAGCAGGAATCTCCTTCCAAGGTCCCCCCCTTTCTTTCCTGGGAAAGAGAATACGAAAGAACTCTTCAAAAATCGATGAAGAATAGACCGAAGATAACCGACAGGCGAACTACTGGCAAAGGATCTGAAAGAGCTCGACCCTTTATGACTGAACTTCGCTTCGCTTCTAAAGTTGGATCTGAAAGAGCTGAGCCTTTAGGCAATGTTGCATAACGCACCTCCTCCGGCGGGTACAGTAAAAAAGGTTAACACAGATGGTGCGGCTCAAAGCATAGTAGAAAAGGGCATAATAAAAAAAAAGGCTTTCTTAGGCTTGATGTAATTAACCTAAGTCACATTCACAGGTTTTGTGCCAGGATCTCCGCTAGGGCTTGTGTGCCTTGGGTTGATCCTTCTCAACAAAGAATGTTCATCGAATACTTACTTAGTAGTTTTTCAGGTCATCCTTTCCAGCTGTACAACATTGTTCAGTTAAAAGAAAGCTAAGGAAAGGGGATAAAAACTTGGAAACATCCACTGACGGAATCTCACATAACACATCTATTTTGTTTGACCAATATAATTCCCATCTATACCTTTTTTATCATTTTTCAGCCTTCTCAGATCAGAAACGGAGCAAAAGAGGTGCAGGCGACCATAGGGAGGTTATTCACCTTATTGTATTGTGGCTTAAAGTTTTTAAAGAAAAGAAAAGAGACTTTAGGAAAGCGGTTTTCGGGTAGTTGCTAAGAGAGAATAGTCCGTGCGCCCTTTGAGAGAGGAAAGACAGGAGGGCAAAGGTTGAATCATGAAGATTGTAAAGTGGCTGGATTACAAAGAAGTAGGTCCGGGGAAGCGACCGGAACAATCGATCAAAGAAGGAATGACCCTTGGGTTGGGTCTTTCTCGATATGCTATCTCACAGCATTCAATCTTTCGACGTTGGTGAAAGACCGTCTGTCCAGATGAAAGTATGTCTACCTCCCTCCTTCTTTAACGTAATAAAGATGCTAATGAGCTGGCGCACTGAAAGAAAGATTATGGAAGGGAATCGAGAGTACAGTTCATTCACATAATGAATTTGAAGCTGCCATTCCTACTTTCCTTAGAAGAATGCACGCAAAAAACCTTAGATCAGACCGGGAGCTCGATATTCAGAAAGAAGGTGGTAGGGCGCTTGAACTAGACATCTTGGAAGCACAGCCATCCGAGGAATCTCCAGTCTTTTTCTTTGCAAAAGTAGAGATCTTTAGTAAAGAGAAACTGCTTTCTCCACTTTTCACAAGGGATCTATTGTTCTAAATACCCGGTCCTAATCTCCTGAGCGGAATATAGTACCAAAAAGAGAGTATCTTGACTCCTTTATCCGTTTACTACATCTTTCTACTGCCAACTATCCGTCACATGCTTTCCTTCAAACTACTCTATTTCATTCAAATTGTCACTTCCGAGCTTGAAAAGAAGCAGCCGAGTCTGTAGCCTTAAATGAAAGAAACCATGTCTTTCGAAATGGGAATGGAATACAACGCCTTATCATTATCCAATTCTTATGCCAAAAAGCCCGACTTTCCTCCGATGGCTTTGGCTTAGGCTAGAATGGAATACGCACTTAGAGAGACTGGAGTAGGTAAAGGTAAGAAGCAAGGGAGGACCTGGCAATCGTAGACTTTATTTAAATCCATCTCACACCTGGCCTCAAGGCAGATGAAAGACTAGGCAAAAAAAAGGCAATAAACTATACCCGGCTACAGGCCAACCTTAATAGCCGAATTAGCATCGAGTGAATCAAAAATGGACGTAGTAGCTTAGATAGATCGAAAAAGCTGTGAATAGGGATTCAGTTCTTATTTTCCCAAGGTAGTTCAGTGGGGAGGCAACTCAATACAATAGGTAGCTCAAACCAGGCTCAAGGGAAAGAGATGAATGGATAAGAACGACGCCCAGGGTCCATCCTCAAGTCTGATTAGGATGATGCTTGAACTGGATCCTCTAAAGGGAGAAAAACCGGAGGGAAGAGGAGGTAGCGTTGTCTCTAATATATAATAATTGATTGCTAGCAGTAAGAATATCCGATGCAGTTAACCCGATTGAAGGAACCCACGGGCGACAGGGTTAGAATCCGACTAAGCTAAGCTTTGCCTCTCAAAGGGCATCTTCTTTTCTCTCACTCTCACGGGCTCACACCGTATCTTATTACTAAAATACATGAGAATACGGTGTAGGGACTCGAAGGGTGAAAGAAGAGAATAGAGTAAAGGATGCCAGAACTCTGTCCCTTGTTGAATCGACTGTTCACTCATGGTTTCAGCTATTTTTATAATATCCCCTGCAGCTAGCTCTCAAGAGAGTGAAGTGGAGGCTGCTATTTCAGCTGTTGGAGAAAGGGCAACTAGAAGCCCGGTAGCAAAGCATTGATCAGTTTGAATGCAAGTGATTGTAGAATGTCTTTCAGTTCGTGTGAAATGAAACTCTCCGCTGTTTAAGGAATAAGCGCTGCTATTGACTCCGGTCTTAGAGAAGCAGGCCAAGGCCTCGAAAGCCTCTTTGAAAGCCGCTGTTTAATCA